TACATCTTCAAGGGCTTTGCTGTGTTTCTCACAGTAGTTTCAAAGTTTCAGGTCTTACATTAGGATCTTTGATCCATTTTGAACTTTTTGTTATATAGGGTGAGAGAGAGGGTCTAATTTCAGTCTTCTACAAGTGGAAATCCAGTTTTCCTAATACCATTTGTTGAAGAGTTTTCTCCAACATGTGTTTTTGGCTCTTTTGACAAAATCAGATGGCTGAAGCCGGGTGGGTTTATTTCCATGTCATCTATTTTATTCCTTTGGTCTTCCATGCTGTTTTTTTTTTAAACTATGGCTCCATAGTATAATTTGAAGTCCGATATTGTGATGCCTCCAGCATTACTCTTTTTTGCAGCATTACTTTTGCTGTTCAGGGTCTTTTATGCTTCCATATGAATTTTAGGATGGATTTTTCCTATTTCTGTGAAGAATGTGTGTCTCTGAGATTTTAAAGTATCTATTTAGTATGATTAAAAATTTGCTAACATACAATCTCATACAGCATTTTAATAGTAATTGTCATTGTTTATATATCCCCTTTCTAATTTTGTTCCTATTTTTCCCTACTTGAAAAAAAATCTGGAAGTTTTTTTTTTAAGTAACCTTTTTATTTTAGCACAACCTTACAATTATAGAAAAATTACAAAGATAATACAGAGATTTCCCATTTAGCTACACCCAGTTTCCCCATTAGGAACATCTTACATTAGTATGGTATGTTTGTTGCTACTAGTGAACCAGTATTGATATGTTATTATTAACTAAAGTCCAAGTTTATTCAGATTTCCTTAGTTTTTACCTACTGTTCTTTTTCTGTCCCAGGACCCTACCCAGGATACCACATTACATTTGGTCCTCAGATTTTCTTAGTCTAATCCTGACTAGTATACTTCTCAGACTGTCCTTGTTTTTAATGACTGAGACAGTTTTTGAGGCATAATGGTCAGGTATTTTGCAGAATGTCCAGCAGTTGGAAAAATCTCAAGATTTCTTCATGGTTATATTGAGGTGCTATGTTCTTAGGAGGAAGATGACGGAGTTAAAGAACCATTTTCATCACATTACATCAAACTGTTAAGTTGCATCATTGTTGAAGTCCACTCCCATCACCTGGCTGAGGAAGTGTTGGTCAGATTTCCCCTTGTAAAATCACTCTATTTCCCCTCTTTTCCATACTGTACTTTTTGGAAGGAAGTTGTTATATGCAGCCCCCACTTAAGGTGGGAGGGTGTGCTTCACTTCCTTGAAAGTAGCGTATTTACATGCATTATTTTCAGTTATTCTGCACGGGAGAGCTGTCTGGTGTTCTACATTTTATTCAGTCATTAATTTATATCAATATAGACTTGTGGATATTTATTTTATACTTTGGGTTAGAATTCAGTACTACTTTCTTTATTGTGTTGCCATAGTTTTCCAGCTTCGGCCACTGGGAGCCTTCTCAGTTGGCTCCTGTGTCTCTTTGGCACATCTCCATCATTGTGGGTTTTGTTTTGTTGCGTTAAGTATGTTCTTAGAATTTCTGGCATTGCAGGATGCTCCAGACTCGTCTACTTTATTTCTTACCTGAGTTCTAGAATCAGCCATTTCCCCAGGAAGCCTTGATTCCTTTTATTTATTTATTTTTTATCTTTGGAAGTCCTGGGGTTTGAACTCAGGGCCTCACACTTGCTAGGCAAGTACTCTACTGCTTGAGCCATTCCACCAGCTGCCCTGATTCCTTGTATTGAAGAGTGGTATGGGAAACTAACATCTGGATGGCAGATGTGATTCTTGCTTCTAGGGCATTGTCGATCCTCTAAGAAAGGGAATATATGTATGTGTACTAGTTCACTAGGCGTATGTGTATCTATAGATATATGTATATGTGTATGCTAAGCTAAAATTGAGTACTCAGTCATGTGTCTGGCTTTATTCTATTACCATGTGGGTCATTCTGGCTTTTTCCCTTGCTTATCTGTAACATTCCACCCCAACAGTGAGAAACCTGGTCTCACCATTTACCATTTATCTGAATTGTTCAACCCTACTAGACATGTATAAGGATGTCAAATTGTTATCCTACTCCATTAAAAAAACTTCATCAATTAGAATATAATGTTCATTTGTGCTTTCTGTTGCCTTTAGTCTTGAAGACTATTTTTTTCCCCCAGTACTGGAGTTTGAGCTTGCACTTGCTAGGCAGGTGCTCTACTGCTTGAGCCACACCTGTAGTCCTTTTTGCTCTGGTTATTTTTGAAACAGGGTCTTGATTTTTTTGCCTGGACTGGCCCAGATTGTAATCTTATCATTTGGGATGACAGGCTCTGGCCATAGTGCCCAGACAGTGGTTGAGATATGGGGGTCTCACTAACCTTTTGCCCAAGCTGGCCTGGAACCCAATCCTCCTGATCCTCTCCTGAGTAACCAGGATTGCAGGTGTGAACCACTGGCTCCCTGCTTCCATTTTCAAAGTTACTTAGGTGAGCACCTTTTTCTGCCATTTTCTTTAGAGAGGTTGTTCAGACATTTGTTATACAGTTAGATTTTTTTCATCACACTTTGCTTTCCATGCTGTGATTCCTCAACCTCTTCAATGATCTTTTTAAAAATTCACAGACATCAAGTTTCACTCTGTGCTGTGAATGTACATGGGTTTTCAAAAATGTATTAATCATTACAGTATAAATCAGAATAGCTTTACCACCCTAAATGAACCTTTTTGTGAATTCCCATTAAACCTTCCCTCCTTCCCCAAACCCCTTACTACCACTGAGTTTTTACTGTCCTCAAGTTTTGCCTTTTCAAGAATGTTGTATAATTGAAACTGCAGTATATAGCTTTTTCAGACTGGGTTCTTTCACTTAGTAATGTGCATTTAGGAGTCATCCATGTGTTTTTTGTGACTTGATAGTGGTATCTTTTTGTCACTGAATAATATTTCATTCCATGGGTAAACCACTGTTTGTTTATCCCTTTACCTGTTGAAAGAATCTTGGTTGCTTTTAGGTTTTGCTGTTAGTAATAAAGTTAAACAAAACTGGAGAAAGCAGAACAGATTCTGCCTGGAAGTAAAGGGAGTGCCGGGGGAGAGGGACAGGATGGGGGTCGGGGGCGGGGGGAGAAATGGCCCAAACAATGTATGCACATATGAATAAATGAATAAAGAAAAAAAAAGTTGCTATAAGCATTTGTGTGTGGTTTATGTGTGGGCATAAGTTTTCAGCTTAAGGGTAAATATCTAGGAATACAATTGCTGGATCATATGATAAGACCATTTAGCCTTGTATGAAAGTGCCTGTCTTCCTAAGTAGCTGTACCATTTTGCATTTCCAGTGACTGAAAGTCCTTGTTGCTCTGCATCTTTGCCTGCAGTTGGTAGTTAGCAGTTTTTTTCATTTTAGCCATTCCAGAAGGCTCAGAGCTGTATATCACTGTTGCTTTAACTTGCGTTTCCCTAATGATAAATGATAAGCCTCTTTTCCTATGCTTGCTTATTATCTTTATATTTTCTGTAGACATTTATTGTCTACTTTTTATCTTGGGTTCTTTTATTGTTGACTTTTAAAAGCTCTTTGTATATTTTAGATTGAAGATTTTTATCAGTTACATATTTTGAAAATGTTCTCTCCCAGTCTATGGTTTACCTTAAATTTTCCTAATGGTATCTTTTGAATAGCAATTTCTAATTTTAATGAAGTCCTATTTATTTATTTTTAATTTTGTGTATAGTGTGTAACCAGGTTGTTTTCTGAGGTAGGTGGTGGATTCTGAAAGGTCTTCAAGAATTGTTATACTTTCTGAAAGAAAAGGTTTCTATGCCATAGTCTGGCAGAGTTAACATTTTGTACAAAAATCTATTTGGATGAGGAATTTCTTGAAAATACAGAGTTTAAATTAGCTAATAGGAGAACATAAAAATAAATCACACTGAAGTAAATGCCACTTCCTATTTTCTTTATGAAGATTTGTTCAAGAGAATAACTCACAAAAGAAGAACACTAACTGACAAAGGTCTCCCAAGCCTTTTCTCTTCTTTTTAAAATCTTAGTGACTGACCATATATTTGAAATATTGTACTTGGGGATCTGAAAGAAAAAAGAAAATACATATTTTCTATTATGAACTCTGGGATCTGGGTTTATTATTTCTGGAGGGTTATTGTGATAGGGTAGCCTACATTCACACATCGCTTTTTGCCTGTATGTTCTAGGGAAATGCTGTTTGCCATTGTGACTTTTTAGTTTGTTTCAGTGGCTCATATGTACAAAGATGACAGTCATTTCTACTGGGAAGTGATGTGGACATTGTTTGAAAAGATTCAAGTGGGATTTCATGTACCTGTATGAGTAGAACAATGAAACCTCTTGCATTGTTTGGACTGGGGCAGGGAGAGGGCGGGGGACAGATGATGGCAATGAAACTGATGTACAATATACGCCTAATCAGAATTGCCATTATGAACCCCTCCTGTATAACGAATATGTCATAATTAAAAATAAAAGAGAAATAGAGGGGAAACAAGTATTTGATGTACTGGTCATACAGGTATTTCGGGACTGATTAATATTTATGGATTTTGTGATATCAATGATATTTTTCTGAATTTTAGAATTTTTAGTTTGTTATATGCTTATCCATTCCAATATTCAATTGACGATTTATTAGCTCTTTGATAGCAATCAAGTGCTACATAAAGGATTTGACACATAGTGAGTTGGTAGAAATAGTATCTGTCACTTTATCCTGGGAAAAATACTCAAAATTATGTTTATATAAATCAAATTACGGTATACTCCTCTTTCTTCTGTAGTTCACTTGATGTGATATAATGTCATCTCCTATTCTTTAATTGCCCTTATGTTCCACAATAAATTGAATTTAACAGCAAAAAAGATTCATGTGTATGCATGAGTAAGGAATAGCAGAGAGAGTATTAGATCTTAACTTGTTTTTAAACAACCATGTAGACAATTTTTTATCTTTGTGAGCATTGACCAAGGGACTGCTTAAATCACTAGGTCCTTCCCATCATGAAGATGAAGACAGCTTCTTCTCAGTGTTTCACACTCAACTCCGTCCAGAAGATTATGAAAACCATACACAGAATGCCAATAAGGGTATGTTTTAGTCTGTGTGATTATATATATTGTTACAAGGAATAGTAGCTGTATATGGAAATATTCACGGATAAAATGTTTCAATATAATTTAATCCAGAGGTGGTAGAAGTAGATGAGGTTCAAGATGGCACACAATCCATCATGAGTTGATCCTTGTTGAAGTTCTTGTTGAGAGTTCATTACACCATTCTGCCTTTGGATGTTTGAAATAGAGGGAAAATATCTGGATGCAACTAACCATGGAAACCTGGCTTAAGCTAAAAAAAAAAAAATATAGAAAGGATCTTGGTGATAAACAGCTCTCTTTGGTTCCCAAGAGCACATATACCATGGTAAGTCATTTAGAGGAAGGCTTAGTTCCAAAGTCCTAGATCAGGTGCCTATCCCTGGTCCAAGCAACTTGTCCAACATAGCAAGGTCAGAGTTACTGTGGGAACATGGCAGCTCCTGCTGCGCCATCACCAGACCAGAGAAGAGGACATTTCTGTGAAACAGTTCTGGCCAGATAATCCAATTTTTTCCCCACAATTTATTAGAAATATATTTTAAAGGCACTGTTATAAATGCAGAAATGGGTGTATTTAATTTGAGTTATTTTAGTATTGTATTGGTTAACTGTATATGAAACTTCAATTGAATATATACACCTCATATTTAAACTAAAAAGACTATATGAAACTTGAATAATGGGGAAAGTGATATATGTTATATCTAAGGTGGTCACTCACCTTATTTTGATAAGTGGCTATAAGTACAACAATTGATTAACTCACTGATTCCTTTTTGTTGAGGTCACTTCTCTTATAAAACAAAGATAACTTTTAAGTAAGCCTAGTCTAGGTTGAGCTATTGACTGGTGATATTTTTTCTCCTTCGTACTTCAGTGTAGTACTTTCTCCTGTTTTGTAGGGTAAGTTCCTTGTGTCATTTAAGGAGACTTTGTGAATATTTAATTTTTTTGTGGCACTGGGGTTTGAACTCAGGGGCTTGTACTTAGCTAGGCAGGCATTCTACCACTTGAGCCATACCCCAGTCCTCTTTGTGAATATTTTTAGAACTTTAATGAAGGGTTTACATGATCTTGTTTTAAAAGCTCTAAATATGACACAGTGAAAAAAGATACTAACAGGAATAAGAATCTGCAAGTATTTTTCTCACCTTTGTTTTGAGCACTTAATGTCTGAAGGTCTCAGAGGTTTACTCAGGCCTCTTATCAAAGGTTGGAGAAAACGGACAAACTGAGATGGGCTGTGGGGAGTGTGCAAGGGGGATACAGACTGCCCAGGACACTTACCCCAGACAGTGCTTTAAAAAGAAAGGCTGGGCAAAAAATTTGTTGTTCAGAGAGGGCTGAAAAATTAATAGAGGAGTAGGAAATTAGTCTTTAGGGAAAGTTTTGATTCATATAAAGACAAAACACAGTATATATTTTAAATCCTCATAACATCAGAGATTTCCTTCTCACATGTGTGACTTGGAGCTCTGTTCACATTTCTGTCACTCCTAAGGAGTCAATGGAAGAAGTTTGGTACATGATAATGCAAGAAGTTTAATGAGAACCTTACTGGAAGTTACCACAGCACATTTATATTTTTAAGAAAAAACCTCCATAGATAGGTTTCTGGATCTGGCATTTAGCAATTGCTCCTTTTTGTGTATTTTCTCATATATTTTAATATATGCTTAAAGTGAATTTTCAGTACAATCCACAATTGTAATTATGAAAGATTTTGAACTTTTTTAACATTAGATTTTGCCTTCAATGTGGAAAAAAATGAGTCATTGATCAAAGCAGAAAAGAAGCCTTTCTCAAATGCAGAGAAGATTGCACTCAGGGGTGAACATAGCCGGGATTTTATCAAGCGAAACATCGAGGTGTGTATCTAGATGAGAGGGGGAGCAAATGAGTTGCAAAACTGGCAGTGGTGTGCTCGGGGCCTTTAGCTATTTTTTGGTCAAGATGAATATATGCATAATTAAATATAAGTGAAAGGAAGCTTTCTGAGCTAACACTTATCTTCACTGTTCCCTATTTTTTTTATTCCCCTACATCCTGTCCTATCCCCTTTTAAAAATGCTAGCTGCAACTAGCATTTATTTCACCACGCAGAAATAGTCTGGTTCCTGTAATTTGAAAAATAGAGGTTTGGACAATGTTTCCAGACATTAAATTGCATATTAGTGAAGTTTTTTAAAGTAATGAGACCGTGTGTGCAGCTAGTGCATTTACAACTCTGAACGGAAAATGGCTACACAGCAGCAGGGTGGGCTGGACAGGACACCTGGCTGTCTACCTCCCCAGCCTCGTGGCCCCGGCCACTGCCCCTGATTAGTTCCCTGCTTCAGGGGCCATCCTTGGTCTTGCAGGTCCTACAGCCTCATTTGGTTTGCCTTAAAGGTAGATGCAGACTAGTCAAGGGCACGGTGACTCCTATATTGGAACAGAATGCTAATTGTTTAATTTACAAGAAATACAAATGGGGTAGACAGAAGGCTCACAGCAACCTACCTCTTGGGCACCTAGTCACTAGAGAACTGCATGGATGAGTGAGAAGCCTTAACCGGAGGAGAGAGCTAAGCAATTCCTACAGTTCAGGTCCAGTGCTTCTTTCACAGTCGGCATGTCGTTACCAGACAGATTGAATTCTTGAGTGAGCCTGCCTCTGCCTGACTGGCCTCTGGCACTCTCCATTTTCTGTGCTCCGTGTTCATGTTAGCTGCAGCAAACCATCCCCAGTTCTGTCTGTCTCTTTGTGTGGCCCATTGTGTCTTGGTTTGTTGTAGAATTTCTCCCCATCTAAGTTCTTGCTGACACAAACAGCAGCTCCACCATCAATTATCCTTCCTCCTTTTAATAATAGTGACTGGATCTTTATTTAAATGTCTTATATGATCTTCTTGAAGTTTAAAAGCAGTTTCATCTAGTGGATAGAAGTGGCAAGAAGAGTCTTTCCAAGTGTCTTAGAAAGTACAGTTTTTGCATCTATAACTATATATACATTTGGAGAGAGAGATTTGAAAACTGCTCATGTTTTATTATTATTTTTTAATATAAAGTGTTTGTTGAAATGGCTAACAAGAGAGCCTTCTTACATGGAAATATCCTTGCTTGGAGAATGGCCAAATATAAAAGATTTGTTATAAGATAAAATTACCTAGCTAATATAAAATGCCTCATTTCTCAAATTTTACCTCACTGTATGTATTCTGTAGAAACCACAGATTCTATTCTTATTTCACTGAATTATGAATTGCTTTTAAGTATTTAATGTTTTTCACTAATAAATTTTGCAGTTGGCCAAGAATTCAAGAGACCCAGTGGTTCTGATTGACAGGGAGAAGAAACGACTGGCAGAACTTTTGAGGGACTTAGATAACAGAGATTCAGGGCTATCTAGTTCCGAGGTATGTAAACTCCGACAGTCAACAATGTCACAGTTCTTCATTTTGGTTTTCTTATGTTATCAGCCTGTTAGCACAAATTTACAATGATTTTCCAGGTTGTGAGACATTATTTTCTGACATTAAAAGATTCTCTTTTAGACATTTATTTTTACTGACGCTTTCAAATTTATTCTTGGTCAATTCATTATTGACTCTCAAAGATTATCTTAAGTGGTTATGAGTGACTACATATTGGTTACCAGGGTAATAAACTCTCAGTGTCTGTGATGTGACAGGCTTAAGTCACTGATGCCATAAGAATAGGTTTCTCAGTCTCCTCTTATTATCCCCACACTGGCATTGTGATACTTCAGTGCATTCTTTAGTAATCCTAAAGTACACACCGTTCTGCTCCCGCCCAGTTAATCCGACCACCCAGTTCCCTCGAGAGCCTGGGGGAGAACAGACTGAGCAGAAAGGGGGAGTATCATGTGACATAGGAACAAATGCAGTTGTCTGTAGGGCCCAGAAAGTCCTGTAAGGAGTGTAGTGGCCCAGTGTTGACATGTGTTTGCATGTTTTTCTAGTCAGCATGTTCCTCACTTCCACAAAGAAATACACCTTTCTGTGTTCCTTGAAGCACTTGGCCTGTTGTCTGGCTTTCATTCTCCTGTGCTGAATAAAGATATGATAGAATGAATGCTGCTGAACCCTGCCTATAGCTCTGTTATCTCCCAACTCTTTGTTTCTCCGTCTCCGCCCTGTCTAAGGGTGCATTGCTGTCCCCTTCCTTAGAGAATTGCCCTGAGCCAAATGGGAGTCCATCCCATTGGGCCTATCACCCCTCCCACCCCAGGCTCCTTACCTCAAGATGGGATTAGCTCTGGGTACTTCCCTGGGATCAGATTGAAGCTGGTCTTCAGCTGAGACCATATCCTTGCTTCTCTGTGCTCTGGTCCTTGCCTGTTTGCCCTCTGCACCTGCTCCTAAAGACACTCCTACAAAATAAATCACTTGAGCAAGAATCCTGGTCTCAGGTTTTATACCTAGGGAACCTGGCCTAGGACACATAAGTTCAGAGGGCAGTCATGTTCAAAAGTAGTACATACACAGTGATGGCTGAGGCCAGTGGGAAGGATGTGCCAGTCAAATTCAGGCTAACACTCAGTGTCAGCTAGTGACTGCTCTGTGGAAGTCCTAGACCAGGCTGCTGGGATCACCCAATTTTTCAAAAGAAACTAGAGATTTGGATTTTCATGGGAAGCATTATATGATTTAAACATTGACAGCTAATTCCATTTAGAAAAGTTCTGTGTGGGCAAACAGACTAGCCTCCCTTCCACTCCAAACCAAATGCAAATCTATAAAACATTACAGATTACAACCTCTAAACAACTGAGGTGGTGAGGGCCCAGTGAGGGCTGTGTCTAGGAAGGGAGGAAAGGGTGGGTAAGGTCCACTGCTAAACGCCCACACACTGCCGAGACACTTTCGCTTCGCTGTTCTTGTTAATTTTCTTAACAAAAGTTAATAAGAATTAAGAATTAAGAGACCTGGGTTTCATTCTCGGTTTTGCTATTATTTGTGAAGTTGGGCAAGCTGCTACCCACTGTCTCTGTGTGGGTGTCAAACTATGGCATGATAGAGTTTCCTGACACATTCGAGGGATGGTTTGATAATGAATTTTTGTTATTAGAAGTGCTGTTAGTGTGTTGCTTATGTTAGTACTTACATCTTATCCCTCTCATTAGTTTAAGCTCTATAATTTCAGTTTTAGGTAGACCCTTTACAAATACCATATCCCGTAGCTGGATTTTTATGGCTGTGGCTTTTTTATTTATTTATTTATTTATTTATTTATTTATTTCATTTTATAATACTCTTTATTTGATTAAAGAATTTGCCTTCCTTGTGTACACTGGAATGTTATATTCCCTACATATTTTACAGGGTTACAAAATGTCTCTCATTTTAAATATTACCCCAAAAGTAATTTCAGAAAAAGTTTTTGTGAAATTAAACTTGACTGTTTAAAAATCATACGGACAAACAACTCTCAAACAAAACTGGATTAATAAGATTTCTTGACTACTTAACTACATGACAGACTTATTGTCCCAGTCCCCTTCCTCAGAAAAATCTCATGTGGAAACCAAGCTAAAGTTTCTTCCCTGATGCAGTTAGGGGAAAGGGAAAGGCCAGAAATGTCTTTGGCAAGCAATTCCAGCCATTGCCATTTGTGTGTGACTGCTCTGCTTCATGTGCAGGACACTCTTTGTAGAGTGGGCTAGGAGTTCAGAGCAGGAGTGGTGCTAAGAGTGCAGAGATTATCTACAGTCACCTGCCTCTTCCACTTTCTGGGCCTACACCTTTATAACAATTTGCCTTCCACCCTAGTGAGTGCAATCCTGGGTTAAAAGCCCAGGTTGGGCTGGCTTATGTTGAGTCTCCACTGAAAAAGTAATGGATGAAATGGAGCTGAGGAACAATCGCTACAGGATGACACTCAAAAGGCTTAGGGGGAAGTAAAGAAGGGATTTCAGAGACAGAACGATGCAGTGAAATGCTGGGTTGGTTGGAAGGAAATGGGGTACATATGAGTAATCTGTACATACCAGCATAACCAACTGCCTCTTGAAATGCTAACACTCTAGTGGCAGAGATGGAGTCTCCTGATAGTTCAGGACCGATGGGAAATGGCACAAACACTCACTGAACCCATGGTCTCCAAAATCACAGCCTCATTTCTGATAGACAAGAGAGGACTGATGACACAGAGAGTAGCCAGGAAGAGGGAGGTGGTCAATTTGAGGAATGTGAATGGATCACAAAGACATTGTGTTTTAGTGCAAGTACCCCAAATGTCGAGAACTAGAAGCTTGGGTAGCACTAGCAGCAGATATGATTATGTCTGGATGTGAAATCCCTAATTAGACATAACCATTTTTCTCCTAGATGTCTTGAGGAGGGGCTGAGCATCTGAAAGTACTTCTCAGTTATAGTTAATATTGACACAAGTGGGATGTACAGTACTGTTCTAAACTGGAAGGGCAGGCCTTAAAAACAACTTAGTAAAGTAATGTAGGAATGGATGGACATGGACAAAAGACAGAAGTCAACCTTATCTTTTAACTTCTAGACTCCATACCACTTAAACAGTTCACCTGTATTGTCCAAATATCAAGAATGGGTTAGATAATCTTGTTCCAGGAGTGTTAAACACAATGCCTATGAACAGATGATCCCAGGGCTTGATTAAATGTACAGAAAGAAAAACTGAAGATAAAGGAAAGGAGAATGAAAGATTAAAATTTATGGAGAAAATTTTAAAAAAACAAAGTATGAAGTACAACTATATCAGAAATTAAAATAAAGGAGCAACTTGGGTGAAGGCAGATGAGGTGTTTATACATTAGAGAGAATATTTCATTTATATTTTATGGCCACTAAGAAGTTTTGTAACTTTTCCTGACTTCAAATTATGTATTTTATTTATTGTATCTGATTTGTTTACTTTACCATCTTTTCTCTTATGGTTTGGAAATTTAGCATCCTGTTTCTGATATGGTATGGTTATCTCTCAAGTTCTTTAAAATATATTAAAACATATATTTTTCATTACTCTTTAGGAATTAGTTTCTACAGCCTCATAACAAGACAGGATCTTTGGTATGGTTTTATTCCTATTTTCCCCCATTTCCTTTTCTCTGAGATGTGTTACAATTATCAAGAATTTTACCTTCAGAGTGTTGTAAAGGCTTACCTTTACCTTTGAAACAGCATGTTCCTTGTTTTTTTAGGATTCCTTTTCAACCAAATTTAGCCATTCTTTTATCCATATAATTAATTGTGTGTCTGGACTCTAATTATTGATTTGTATAAATAAATTTTCTTGTATTATTTGCCTTGCATTCTTTTTGAATAGTTTTTCTCAAGAAATGGTGATGTGTGGATAATTTTTGAGAGTTTGCATTTTTACTATTTTATTTTTTTGTCTGTCACTTGCATGGCAGCTTGAATGGTAATAAATTTCTGCAAAATCCTTCCTTTTGGAAGGATGTGGGATTTTCTCCCTTTTGAGATCCACAAGTTCTGTTAGATTATGTGTCTTTAATAACATTTTTATTCTTGCTCAGTACCTTCTAGATCCTTCCTAGCTTATGAAGTTATCTTCTGTTATTTCTTCCCTTCCATCATTTTTTGTTTGTTTGTTTCTTTTTGGGATACTGATAAAATTGGGTACCAGGTGGTTTATGATTGGTTGCAAGTAACAGACAACTTTATGAACAGTGGCTTTAACAAGAAAGGAATTTAGTTTTCTTCAGTAACAAGAAATCAGGAGTGTTAAGTTCTGAAGGCTTGGTTGCTAGCCAATGGCTGTTAGAGGTGATTGGTCACTAGGGCTCTTGCTTCATCAGTGGATTTGAATTCAGAGCTGAATGGGCTCTTAGAAGGAAGTAGGTCACAGGGGGCGTGCCTTTAAAGGTACATCTTGTCCCTGGACCCTTCCTCTCAATCTCTTTCTCTGCTTCCTGGCTGCTATGAGTTGAGCAGCTCCCCTGCCATGTCCTTCTGCCACAGTGTCTCTGCCTTGCCACAAGCCTAAAAGCCATGGGTCTGCTAAACATGGACTGATAGCTCAGAAACCATGAGCCAAAATAAACCTTTCCTCAGGTATTTGATTTGCTCAGGTATTTTGTCAGTGACAAAAACTGACTAACACAGGATTAGGACAACAAAACTCTTTTCTAGTGTAGAAAAATGAGAAAGTCAAGAGAACAAGACTGTGAGACTCAGCAATTTATTCCACAGGGGAAACGCCTAGACAGAATGGAAGAAGATATTTTTCATAGGACTGGCAAATAACAAAACTACACATTATTTTGTTTTTTCTTTAACTGTCCCAGTATTAATTCTGAATGTCTTGTTGTTGTTTTTGTTTGTTTGTGTGAAGTCCTGAGCTCTGTGTAGGTATGTTTTGGGAAAGCTGCTGTGTTGGACTGGCCTGATAACCTTTGTCTCCCCCAGGGTGATCCGTCTGGCTGGTGGGTCCCAGGAGAAGGATATACACCTGCGGCCACTCAGCACCAGCAGCTCACTGAAATTGATACAAAACTCCAAGAACTCTCTGCAGCCTCTCCAGAAACTTCCAACTTTTCTCCAAGGCTTGAAAATCAGAATGACCAGGTATATTTCATCCAAGGGCACAGATGCTGTTCTGGTTTTGTGTGCTAAAGCTTGTTTGCATGATTTTACAATCTGCCCATTAACTCCAGAAGCTTCTTCCCGATGCTTTTTCTGTACCTACAACTTCAGTAGTTGTTTCATAGCAGTGTGTTTCCCTTTCATTCCTTCTACTTCCTACCTGTTTTCCTTTCAGTTGGTAATTTACAGGGATGGGGGTCACTGAGGAAATACTTATTTTAATAATACTAGTATGTCTTTATGATTTGAGTTATTCTTGGTCATGATCAGGAGGGAGGAAAATTAATAGTGCTCCTTTGAGAGCCTTGTTTTTCTTTTTTCCTTTGGTGCTGGATACTTATAAGCAATGGCAGTCACTTGTCCATTACTTGGCCACATTCTTCTATATCCTTTAATTTAAGAGTGACACTTACTATGTTGAAGCCTTCTTTCCCATGACAGTTTTTTATTTCCCCCCAGTACTGGGGATTGAATGCAGGGCCAGGTGCAGGAAGTATTCTACCTCTTGAGCCACACCCCAAGCCCTTTTGTTTTATATTTTGTTTTTGAGATAGGTTTTTGCTACCTTTGTCTGGGCTGGTCTTGAACTCACAATCCTCCTGCCTCTATGACAGTTTTGAAATAAATGTCAATTTATTATTATTTCTCAAAAATTCCCTCAAATATTCTTTTATAAAGCTGATAGAAGTTGTTGAATACAGTGCTTTGGAAGAATAGATTTCTTCCCTGACCCCCTCTATTTCAGTACTTGTGGGATCTAGTGTGGGGTTGGGTCTGAGGAGAAAGTGTCTGGTTTTCTATTTTCTGTTATCCCTCTACCAGCTTTGTAAAGGTATCAGCAAATCATTTTTTATGATTCTTTTGATATTTTAAAAGACTTAAATATCAGTAACATATAGTAATAACAATGATTTATAGTGAGTCCTTTCTTGAAGGTATCAGTTGAAGGTTAGGGCTCTGCTTCAGACCAGTTGAAATTACCTCAGGGAAAGAATCAGAGTTAAGGTGTTCCAAAAAAACCCCCAAAAATCCAGTGTGGTGACTGGTGGCACCTTCATGGAGCATCTCAGTTTCCTTAGGTTATATTGGCCACTTCTGACCCCTTGAGACAGTAGTAGGGGTGATGATGTTCCCACAACTAATTTCTGGGTTGGGGTCAGAATTCATGAAAAACAGAGAGACTTGGAATCTTCATTCTCACCCAAATGCACCCCAGGACTTTGACACAATTTCCACTGATTTATTTGTGCTAGGTTCTATTTCTCAAAAGGAGGAAGTCAAGATGGAGTGATAAAATTGTTGGAGATATTCTTTGTTCTTTTCATGTTTTAGTTCTCTTTTTTTGGTTGTTAGATTTCAAGGATAGTTGAGATCTCAAATTGAACAAGTCTTAAAGATAGAATATTTCTTTTTCATGACTGTCAAATGTCATTCTTGCAAGAGAGACTCAGAATTTAGAGATTTGTTCAGCTATTAGGAACTTCATATAAAGCATGAACATTGTCAGATTTTTGCCATTGTTGTCTAAATCACATTTTCAGAGTTCGCTTTTATGGCCCCAATAAAATACTTGAAAACTAATTAAAGAGAAAAATCAGTACATTATTTTGTTGTTACATACTGAGATTATGTATTTTATATGAAAGAACATACATTTACAAAGAAGAGTGAACTGCATTTTGGGATTCCCATCATTGCTGTTGAAAAGAAGGGACCGGTGCTTCTTGCATGCAGCCAAGAGTATGTTTTGAGCCTTTGTTCAGTTTCCTCTTGGCATTTCCCCATTTTTAAGTAAAACCAGAATTGCATATTGAGTTTTCAAGCAGAAATGCTTGAGTTGGACAATTATTTTATGGATATTATTTTTGTATAATAATACTTTTTGAATAAGTACACTGAAAAGTATCTTGTATAAACCCCCAGCTAGTCAGCTGATGGTTGGCCTGAACCACAAAGACTCATAGTACTTACTCCCTTTGTTTTTATTTTTAACCCTTCTGTAAACCATTAACTCATCAGTCATTTTTTCTTCATGATTCTTCAGAACATCTTCTACAGTGGAATGTAAATTTCTGTTTTTAAGTAATCAATTCAACAAATGTTAATTGAGTGAGTGCTTTACTGTATGTAAAGTGTTGTTGAAGACTTTATGACAAGTTAGGCAATGTATTACTTTGGAGTATGGAAGCCTTGCTTCAGGTTTTGGCTATAGCTCTTGCTAGTTTTGTGGATTTGGGCAGTAATTAACGCTCTAAACCTCAATTTCCTTGTTTATAGAGTGGTAATGATATTCTTTAGGGCTCTTGTGAAGAATAGCTGGATTAACATCATAAAGTGCTTAGCACTTTGGTACAGAATTCAATGAAATTAGTATTGTTATATATAGGTAACTTGAACTTTTTCCTCATGGGAGACACTGGAATACAGAGATAGCTGAGATACAAGACAACATAGGCCAGTGGCTAAAGGTTTTAAGTAAAGAGCTGTGGTGATTCAGGGGAGAGAGCAAGAGCATCCAGAAAGTCTATTTTGTTACAGAGGGACAGGAACAGAAGAGCTAGACCAGGAGATACTTAAGACTACCGTGGCACAGCATGAGGTCCAACCTCATGGTCCTGGGGCAAATTAAACTCACAGATGTGTTTAAAAAATATTTGTAGCCATATTTAAGAGTTTAGGTGAATCCATGTAAGAATTCAAATTTCTACTTTGTCTTGAAAAAAAAAAAAAAAAGAAAGAGAATCTGGCAACATTAGACCAGGGCCCTTGCTTGTCAGTCACTGCTCTGGATTGAGCTGAGGAGCAACTGGGGCACAGATTCTTCACTTCGCTCCAGTATCTACCCTCCATATTGTGTTGTCAAGAAAACAGCTTTCCGAACAAGTTGAGACACATATATCGTCTGACTTATCTGTCTGTGCTAACTATGCAGTGCAAAGTGGGTAAGCACATAAACCTACGAAGATAAACACAGCTAAATCAGAATATTTGAGGGACTTAACAAATGTGGCTCAGAGATTACTGAAGTGTTGGTCACTGTGAAAGGGCAGATAGGAAATCTCTTCATATGAGCTTGCTCATTATGAAATTCTTGTGTAGATGGCCTGACCTGGTGCTCAACTTTATGGCAATGTTTTCAAAGCAGCACTTGGCTTTTACATATCCAATTTCCCTTTGTGTATGACAAAGTACTTGGTCATATTCAAAAGAAAGAATGTCCTATTCCTGCTACTGCTGTAATGTGGTTGCAGTTTTTACATCTGCTTTTTATTTTCATTTCATTTTTGCAAAACTAATTGAAGCAGTTTTTTTCTTAAGATCTGCGGCTTCTTTGTGCATACCTTTTCATATCCATCTCTTAAGTCTTGAGGGAATCAGTTAGTTCTTTCCACGTATTATAAATCCCACCATAAAATTGAGTGATGGTCTATAATTTAGTTTTTCTTATTTGTAGATATATTAGATTCTGGCCTTCTCCAGAAATACCTAAGATACAGGAGTTATGTAAGCTCCAGTTTCTTAAATCCTTAGCAACTGGATTCAATAATACTGTTCTGTTTGGCTCATGTAAAGAAGTGTAGTTTATTCATCACTCATACAATCAGTATTACTAAATTTAAAATTCGAGTTCATAGTTAGATTTTTATTTTCTGGTCAAAGGAAAGTTTTCAGAAATGGCTCTCAATGACAAGATGTAGCTCTTTGTTCTTAGACCAGCTAATTTAATTGAATGTAAACATCCTCTCTAATTTGATTTCTTTTCTATTCTGAAAGTGTTGATTCCATTGTACACAATTTGGAAAGACCAACAAAAAACAAACGTGATTAAGGAAAACCATAGTTGTTCTTCCCTCCCTCCAACTCTCTCTCTCTCTCTCTCTTTCTCTGCCAAGATCACACAATTGCTGGCAGCAACATTAATTGCTTCCTGTCCCAACATCAGTTAAAACTGAGGGAATACACACTTTTGTTGGTATATAATCCTGAAAGATATTGTATTGCCAGCTCCAGTGATCTGAGCATTCTGGTAATGGCCATAGAGTCCAGCTAGCCCCAAATTTACTTAATATATTGGTTGGGAGCAGGAATCTAACTAAGAATTTTTCAGTATATGCTAGCCACAGGCACAGAACTCTTAGTGAGCATTTGGTTGTTTCCAGAAACTGCAGAAGTATGTCCCAGGGGCTTGGATTTCTGGACTGAGGAATAGGCAAGAAGTACTTCAGAGGTTCTTATCATCAGAACCAACTTGGTCAAACAGTCCCAGTTAAATCTGATGAATGGCTCTTGCCACCTGTATCTTACAGATTATTTTGAAGTTTATATATCTTTGTTTTTCTGTTAGTCCTCTGATGCAGTCAAAGTTTCCTTCATTTCATAGTGATATTCCAAGATGACAAAAGCAATCTTCTAGAGTGATCCCCCCTCCTTTTTGGTATGGCCAGGCAAACACCCATGTGATGACAGGAAGTAGCATTAGCCAGTGGAAATGTATACCCTGAGCCTCAAAACACAGGACAAGCTGGCTTCATTCAGGCAGGCCTGTTGCCCCTAATGCATGTCTCCTTTGCATATCAAATAGCTTAGGAAGCTGCGAGTCATTTCCTTTGTATTGACTTTTAAAAATGAGTTTATTTAGCTTCAAAGATCCTGTTGGCTCAGTCATCACCACAGATATTTTTCTAAGGATGAACTCAGAATCCACTGGCAATCAGTTAGTCAAAATGAACAAATATCAATTTACCTCAAGGATTATTAGATATTCTGTGTCTATCACAGATAGCTTTTGCAGAATTCGCAGGAAATCATTCCTGCATGACCTTCAGTCACAGATTGGAGAATCTGCTGAAGTCTTTCTACTGTTAGAAATCAAGATAATTTGATGATCAATACCTAGGTGTAAACCTAACAAAAGATGTGAACGACCTCTACAAGGAAAATTATAAACTTTCTGAAGAAAGAGATTGAGGAAGACTATAGAA